GTTATGCTGGTGATGAAAAAGATAAGCATTATTTGGATCCTCATTGTGTTTATCTTAACTACATTTCAACCGGCCGTACTTGGAGATCAAAAGTAACTGGATATTATTGGGTATGCATATATATTTCAATAATAGTAATAATAATAGTAATAATAATATTATTATGATATTGTTGTGTGAATTTGTTCATTTTATATTTATTCTTTTATATATTTATTCAAATAGCCACGTTTATTATGGAGAAACTTCTCTACTTGGTTTATCTCCGTCATGCTTGGCCGTTACAAACTCTCTACTGAGGCTGAACAACAAGTTTTACGTACTTCATCATCTTCTTTTTGGCAAAATGATGGAACACTTTCTGTTCATGCTCAACGTCCTCCACCTCATCAACAAGTGTTAATGAATATTGCACTTGATCAAAAACTTTATGATCCCATAGATCATGAACTCACTCCTGGTGTTTGGTATAATGTATATGTTAATGATCCTTCACAAACGGTTTTATTTAATGGTGTGCCTTTCTTTATTACTTTACCGTTCGTCGAATATATTATCAATCGATCTTTTATCAAACATTTTGTCAATTTCCTGTCGCGCAACTCTGAAAGTCTCGAATCCTTTTATATTCATTTTATTGAATTCTGTGAACGCAACTTCAGAGTGTCTTCTAAGAAATTATATATAGAATATGATAAAGGGTTAGGCTACTCTGATCCTTCAAGTAAATCATATCTTACCTCCACTACCTCTGAACGTATTGGTAAATATTCAAGCGATAAAGCCGGACTTGAGTGGATTCATAAAATTGAAACAATTGAAATTCTTAATAGTCCTAGCAAAATGCTTTATTGGATGAATCAGATGCAAAGTGGTTTAGATAATGGTTCCCCTTTGTCTGAAAGTGGAAACAAGAAAGAATTCTCGGGTAATCCATTATCTGCTACTTCATTTATGCCAGGTCCAATGTTTATTAAAGCTAAACGTAGATTGACTGCTGATGATTACAGAGCATCGGTGATGAATTGCAATTAGTAGGATGTTCAAGAAATTTTTTAATAAAAATTATCAGTAATTCTAATCACACTCGTTTTTAATGCGATATATATATATATATATATATATATATTTGAGATCGTTATTTTTATATTTTTATTTGCTCAAAAAAAGACAAAAAAAACCAATATTATTATTCCCCCTAAAAAATTAAATTTATATTATTATTCCCTTTAACAATTGAATGAATTGACTTTATTATTATCCCCTAAAAATTAAATTTACATTATTATTAAAAAATCATTCACAAAAAGTAGCCATTCTATTAGTTTCTCTTTAATTTATATCTTTCATTTCACATATATACATATATATATATATATATATATTTAAAAAAAAAACAAAAAAAAAACAAAAACAAAAAACAAAAAAAATCATCTTGGTGAATGTAAATTATATTATTATTGTAAATTTCCAAGATTATTGTGATTAGGATTAAGGTTTTAGAGGCTTCAATAGAAGAAACAAAAAAAATTTTTTTTTATATATATATAAATATACATATATATATCGATATGAAATATAAATATATAAATTAAATAAAGAAATTTAGTTTTATTAATCACGTCTAATTTGTTATTATATACTGTATTATCGTTATTTTTAAATCAACGCAAAAATGCCTTTGTCGAGAATTTAATGCAAAATTCATTGATATTTTGTTAACTAGAGCATACACAAAATTTTATGTACCAAAAAACTGGAGATAAGTGTATAATAAATGCTGTAAGCATATAAAAAAATCTTGGCATAATTTTTAAATGCCTACGTAGAAAAATTAGTTTAGTATAGAGTGGCGATTTTATAACTTAATTATTATATATCTTTATTTGATTTCATAAAAGTGTAATATCACCCAATCTTTCTAGATAGGCACGATTAAAGGGTATGCCTCATTCCAAGGCATGCATGCCCAAATGTTTTTCTGCGCTAACACTATATTTATGGCTACCTTTACTAAAAACACCTTTAATATATACGTATCATCGATTAAATAATATATACCATTTATTTTTTACTAAACTTGACCAACTATATCTATACGTATAATGGGAACATATGTTAGACATAACAAGACCGCTATTATTAGCATAATAAACATTTCGTACTTATTTATATAGCATACCTAAATGTAGCAATAGTAATTAATCGTTCTCTAAGTTGGTCAGGAGTTAGAATTTTCGTCGAAACCTAGTTTCGAACTTTTCACCAAAAAATGTTTGATAAGGCGAAATGAAGAAACTAATGAAAGGTGAAGAAATGGTAAAAGATGGCAAAACTGAAGAACTGATAAAATACAGTGAAAGTAGATGAAACTGGTGAAAAAGGTGATAAAACTGATAAACGAAGGAATTATCAAAATTATTTGTTTAACTCATAAATCTGATTGATTCTCTTTATATCAAACTGGTCATTATCTTTATTTCTATTTATTGAGATCATTATATTTCAAAATATCAGAGACCGTTGTTACTTCGATTAAAATTAAGAATCATATTTATTACCTTCATTTGCGAAGAGTCGAAATCAGATATAATGTGAAGAAATATTAAGGATTGTACCCGGGTATTATATGGCTATAGTAAATTATCCAGATAACAGAATAACGTACGTACTATATAGTAATGTTATGCCTGAAAGCTACCTCTTATTAGCTCAGTATAACTATTCTACTTTAGCAACGGATATATTAGACGATTGATAACAATGCCGTGTTTATGCTTAAGTAAAATATAGGGTTTATTGCAGTTATGCTTTAAGAGGATTATATGATTTGCACTTACGAAAGAGGCAAACGGCTAAATATATATGAAGATATAAGTAGTCGTGTACACAATTTATGGTTTATTCAATAAAGTATTCAAGTCATTCGTGTATGAAGACACAATTACTCTTTATTTATTGTTGAGTTGTGAACTAACTAACTAACTAACTCACTAGTTCACTAGTTAACTAACTCCCAATTCCCAGAGAAATCGAAGATATTTATATATATCTATCGACTAAGATAAATAACCATTATACATATCTTCTAGTAGTTCTATGCGATATAGCATAACTAATTTATATAATAGAAATAAGCGTTATAATAGTTATAAGCGAACTATGAGAACTATTAGAACTATTAGAACTATTAGTTTT